GGATGTCTGCGTCCGGCTCGCCAAAAAGCAGCCCTGTGATTGGCTGTCTGCTTCCCACCAAAAAGCAGCCCTGTGATTGGCTGCCTGCTTCCCATGCGCCAAAAAGCAGCCCTGTGATTGGCTGCCTATCTTCTTTGGCCCAGGATATGTTCAGAACATCCAAGGACCCCATAGGGGCAAACCCCATGTCAGGGGGATCTGAGAGCTACCTGTGAGCCACTCAGGTGTGCAGCTGCTGCCATGTGTGTTTCCTCCTCTTGCCACTGATGACCTCACTGAACATTTCAAACCAGCTCATCTGTGCTAATTAAAGACTTTATTTGTCACTGTGTGGTTTGCTTGAGTGTCCTGGGAACAGCAGCCAGAGCCTTCTCAGGACAGCTAGCACATGTATGACCACCTCCTTGACCATCTCCTTGACCACCTGTATGGCCACCACCCCTCCAAATCCCACCAGGCTCTGTCCCAGCACCATGGACACTCCTCTGGACCGGATCACAGTCCTGCTCCTTCTGGTCTGAGCCAGGTCTGTGATCTCTGAGCACTCTGTCCATGCCCCAAAGCCCACGGTTGTCTTCCCTGCATTAATCAGGACTAACAGGACAAGTAAATCAAGACAGTTAATCATAGAACTAATACCAAAAAAACCCAGACAGCACCAACCTGCACTCCATTGTGGTCTTCTAGGTGAGAGTCCCCAAAATAAGAGGATTTCCAAGGAAAGCTGGTCAACAACACCCATCAGATCTTACCTTGTGTATCAGTGGAACCCACACTACTCATGGACATGGTAAGGACATAGAGAAGGAAGTGATGCCTCCTGCAACCAGAGGTGGGAAGAGATGTCCACAGCTCCCCCATCCTTCCCTCCAGTGCCTCTGTCACAGCCTGAATCAGGTTCCTCCTCCAAAAACTCTGGCAAAAAACAAAGGACTGTTAGGACTCACCTCCAGCTCAGTCCTGGTGTGAAGGTGCACTGGAATGGTGAGCACGGAAGTGGATGACAGCCAGGAAAAGGGGAGAAGAAAGGGAGGGACTGGGGACCTGTCCAGATCTTTCTCTATGCCTTGAAGGGTGTGTGTCAGCCACCACCACCACATGTGTCACATGGTAAGAGAAGCTGTAGTACAGCCAGGACAGATTCTGCTTTGACAAGTCAAGGAACAGCCAAATGAAGCAGCTCAGGTGTTGTTGGTGCTTAAAGCAACCTTAGCACTGAAAAAGCCTTGGCACATGCACTGGTCTCATTCCTTTACAGTCTCTAGCCATGGGATGTGCTTGGGATATGGTTCTTCTCCACCATGTGCTGCAGGACAGCTCTGTTAGGGAAGGATGGGCACAGCTGGGATGGAGTGGAGGTGTAGGAATCTGCTCTGCAGACCACTGCAGGCTAAGGAGCTTCATGGCACAGCTGCCTCCATCTCCTTGTCACCTTGCCAGGACCTTGGGACTGGTGACTCCTGCAGAGCAAACAAGCACTTGTCAAGACTGTCTGGAGGATCCCTCCTGTGTCCAGTGTCACAGCTCAGGTTTGGATTGCCTCCAGCCAGCCAAGGAATGCTTTGTGTTGGAAGGAACCTTAAAACTCACTTCATTCCACCCCCTCTGCCATGGGCAGGGACACCTTCCACTAGCCCAGGTTGCGCCAAGCCCCATCCAACCTGGCCTGGAACACTCACAGGGATGGAGCAGCCACAGCTGCTCTGGGAATTCCATCCCAGCCCCTCAGCACCTCCCAGGGAGGAATTCTTTCCCAAAATCCCATCTAACCTGCTCTCCTTCAGCTTTAAGCCATTCCCATTGTCCTGTCCCTCCAGGCCCTTATCCCAAGTCCCTCTGCAGCTCACCTGGAGCTCCTATGGGCACAGGAAGAAGCTCTAAGTTCTCCCTGGAGCTTCTCTTCTCCAGGCTGAACACCCCCAGGGGATGAAGCAGCCACAGCTTCTCTGGGCAACCTGTGCCAGTTCCTCAGCACCTCCCAGGGAGGAATTCCTTCCTAACATCCAATCCAAACCTCCTCTCAGTGTAAACACAGGTGAATAGACCTTGTACCTCAGGGTGGGTGGACATGGAGAGGTTGGTTCTTTGCCATGGCCAGAGAGAATGGATCTTGCATCAAGCTTGGCTGCACTTGGCTGGGATATAAACTAGCCATTATGTGTCATTATGAGGCTTAATTAGATTCAGCTGCAAACATGGATTGTTGGGCTGGAATTAAAGCCACAGAAAGAGCTTTGATACAGGTTTGAGGTGGTTTGGGTGGGAAAGAGCAATGCAAATGGGAAGACTTCCAGGTGTGTGTTTCCTGGGGGAGTCACCTGTGTCCTGCAGATTTGGGAACACTCCAGCACAGGTGAGAGCAAAAAATACACCATGGCATGAGGAATGAAGACCATAACTCATGGTTTGTTCACCCTGGGATAATCTGGGCAGATCTGTGGTCTCACAACTTCTCACCTGAGCATGAGAAGGAACCAGACATTCAACAGCTCTGCCTAGAATCACAGAATCAACAGGGTTGGAAGAGGCCTCCAAGATCATCAAGTCCAACCCTACCATGATTACCAGACCATGGCGCGAAGTGCCACATCCAGTCTCACCTTGAAAACCTCCAGGGATGGTGAATCCACCACCTCCCTGGGCAGCACATTCCAATGCTTGATCACTCTCCCTGTAAAAAATCCCTTCCTGATGTCCAACCTAACCCTCCCCTGGCAGAGCTTGAGTCTGTGCCCTCTTGTCCTGCTGCTGGTTGCCTGGGAGAAGAGACCAACCTCCACCTGACTCCAACCTCCTGTCAGGGAGTTGCAGAGGGTGCTAAGGTCTCCCCTGAGCCTCCTGTTCTCCAGGCTGAACACCCCCAGCTCCCTCAGCCTCTCCTCATAAAGTTCCATCCTTGAGAAACTGGGACTTCCTGTCCTTTCCCCATGGCACAGGCTACAGATATACATGTAACTTAAAGGTTTGAGTTTCTCAGCACCAGGGGAAGCTCCAAGTTGCAGGACTCTGGAGAACCAGATAAGAGGCTTCAGGTAGGTTGGAAATTCCAGAGGTTTGTAGTCAGGAAAATCAGGACAGTGAGAAACTTGAGCTCAGCAAGGGTAATTAAGGTAAAGGAAACAAACGTGGGGAAGGCATGGAAAGGTCACAAAGCTGTGGGCTGAGAATTGTTCCAAGTGGCAGACATGAGGTTTGGTGACGGATCACTCTGTCCTGAAGGAGATGTGAGATTGGAACATGGGCAGAACAAAGAGACCCTTCAGGGAATGGACTTGGCATGAAGACTTATTGTTAGATGATGGTCTTGGTAATCCCTCCATCAGAAGACAAATAACACTGTTGTTTTGGAGAAGCTTCCTGGTTCCTGCTCTTCCTGACCCTGGTGAAGCTGCAGATACTGAGCTCTCACCCAGGTGAGTGCAGGGAAGAGCAAGGACTGAGCCTCCTGTGCCAATGGAGCAAACAAGGACAAGGATAAGCCAAGTTTGACTTCATGGATGTGGTAAAAAGTGTAATGGGAGCAGCTATTTTGCTTTGAGGTGTATTTAAGGAGCAAATGGTGTCAACACCAGGAGTAATTTCTTCATGGAAAGGGTAGTTTAGCATTGGAAAAGGCTGTCCAGGGAGGTAGTGGAGTCACCATCCCTGAAGGTATTCAAGGAATGACTGGATGTGGCACTCAGTGCTCTGCTCTAGTTGCCAAGGTGGTGATAGGTGACAGGTTGGAGCTGATGATCTCAGAGTTCTTTTTTCCAACCTCTGACTCTGTGAGCAGATGGACAGGTGAGACCAATTACCCTGGAAGAGGTCACCAAGCACTGTCAATCCCCAAGGATGGATTTGAAGACACACTAAATTCATCAACATCACTAAACAAATGGCCCAGAGACTTCTTGTTGTCCCTGAATCCAAGTGGCCAAGCCTGACTCCCACCCCCACTGCTTCCCATTCAACAGCAGCCACATCCTGCCCTTTTCCTGGGAATTGTCTCTGCCCTGGGCTATCCTTGGTCCACATCTAGATGGTGATTGAAGGATGTCTTTTGGCTACACTCGTGCCAAGAATGGGATGGTGTTTAGACCTGTGTCCTGGCTCTCCTTAGTTCCTCATTCCATGTGGAACATGGAAAGAAAGTCCATAGCCTAAAGCTACAGCATTTATCTAATCACTCACCATGTTCCAAGAAAAGACACTCCAAGAGGACAGGGAATACAGCTCAGCCCCAGCAGTGATATGTCTCTGCTGGTATCAAAGAAATTCACATTTGCATTAAAATGAGCTGCAAAAGTGTCTCAGGGTACCTCAAACTCCTTTAAAAGCTTCTGCAGAGTCTCCTAGGGAATAACATTACATTTCCCTGCTCCAGTCACTTTGGGGAGGCTGCAAAGGGTAGAAGCAGGGCAAAGCAGTGGGAGGAATACAGAATTCCTTAGTGAAGACTCACCAGGAAGCTCTGCCTGGACACTCACAGCTGTGGTCTCCAACTGCTCCTGCAGAACATTGTGCTGAAGCTTTCTAAGGACAAAGATGTTTTGAGGAGATAATTATCAACAGTGTGGATCCAGCGGGAGTCC